GGGTTGGGTTCGGGGGATGGGGTGTTGGGTTGAGGGGGGAAAAGCAAGTGTGGTGCGGGTTGGGATCGTCCTCCGCGGAGTCAAGAAAGTCAAGATCTGTGAGTGAGACTGGATGATTGTAGGGAAAGGAGTGCTCATCGAAAGTCACATGACGGGAAGTGATAATTTTGTGAGTGACGAGATCAAGACATCGGTACCCGCGTTGGTTAGACGGGTATCCAAGGAAGACACAACGGGCCGAACGGGGGGCGAGTTTGTGGGGTGCTGTAGCGGAAAGATTTGGATAGCAGAGACATCCAAAGACACGAAGGTGGGAATAAGTGGGTTTAAGACCATAGAGAACCTCATGGGAGGTACGATTTTGGAGAGTGGTGGTGGGTAGGAGGTTAAAGAGATGAGCTGCCATATGTAGGGCTTCAACCCAGAAGGTAGGTGGCAGTTGGGCTTGGAACAAAAGAGAGCGAACGGAATTATTTATGGTACGAATCGTGCGTTCTGCCCGTCCGTTTTGCTGACTAGTATGGGGACAGGAGAAACGAAAAAGAATGCCCAAAGATTCAAAAATATTACATAGGGGCCTGTTTCTGTATTCAGTACCATTATCACATTGCACAGCTTTAATAGTAGTGTTAAACTGGTTTTTCACAAAGGCAATAAAAGTATGGAGATGTGAGCAAGCTTCAGATTTACTTCTAAGAGGAAATACCCATAAAAAATGTGAATAATCATCCAAGAGTAACATATAATGTTTAAAACCAGTAACACTAGTAACAGGCGATTGCCACAAATCAGTATGTAAAAGCTGGAAAGGGAAAGTAGAAATACGACTCGATGACTCAAATGGGAGACGAACATGTTTTCCCAACTGACAAGCATGACAAAGAGAGTGCTGTAAATGTTTAAAAGAAGAAGTAGGCAAGAGACTGGAGACTCCACGGAGGACGGCAAGGCTCGGGTGACCAAGGCGACGATGCCAGAGCTCCGGGCTTCCGGTGGCAACGTTGACCTGGGCTTGGGCCGGGGTGGCTGTTTGGCTCATAGGATAAAGAGGCCCGGCAATATTGGACCGATGAATCACGGTTCCCGTCAGCATATCCTTCACAGAAAAACCAGTGGGGTCAAATTCAATGGAGCAATTGTTGTCACGGGTGAATTGTCTAACTGCGATAAGGTTGTGGATTATATGAGGGGAAACAAGGATGTTTTGTAAGTTAAGGGGAGGGGATGTGGGATTATAAATATATTATAAGGTTGTGGATTATATGAGGGGATTATAAATATAGTATGTATATATTTAATATTAATGTTGTAATCATTGTTAATATGGTAGTTGCCTTGTATAGGATTCCTTCCGTAGTTAGGATTCCTTTGTACTGTATATACGAGGCTTAGCTATCCATCATTAATCATAGAAATTAGTCATTCTTCATGGTATCAGAGCCTTCGTGCCATTCTCTCTCTCGTCTCAACTAAGCATCGCTGCAAAACCCTAGCAGCCCGCCTCCCTCTCTCTCGGCCGAACAGCTCACGACCGCCGGTCTCTCTCACCGGCGACCCTCGGCGGCGAATCCTCTCCCTCGACATCCCTCTCTCCCTTGGCAGTCTCCTCCTCTCCTTAGCAGGCCACCATGTCCGAGAAAACACCCGTCACCGGCGCACCATCATCTTCACCGACTCCCCACTTGGCTTTCACGACCATCTCCAACGTGAAGCTCCATGTTCCGGTCCTTCTCAGCTTCTCCGAGCCCAACTACAAAAAGTGGAGTCGGCTCTTTCTTCTTCTCATCCGCCGGTTCTCTCTTGGTGATTTTCTCACCGGCAAGTCTACTCCGTCTAGCGCCGACGACTCCGAGTGGTTTCAACTCGACGCCTTCATTCAAGGATGGATACTATCAACGGTGAATGACGAAGTTTGCGATCTTGTCCTCTCCACCACCAACTCGGCTTCGGAGTTATGGCAAACAATCTACAATCTCTTCCACGACAACAAGGCGGCCCGAGCCATGCAACTTGAGCACCAATTCCGCACTACAACGAAGGGCTCACTCTCCATGGCCGTCTATTGCCAAACCGTACGGAACCTAGCCGATTGGTTGGACGACGTTGATGCCACCGTCTCCGAGCAACAACTAGTCCTACAGGTCCTTCGTGGCCTTCCGGATGATCTACGGGGCCAAACGTCCTTTCTCCAGTACCAAACGCCGCCCCCGACTTTTCTTCAAACCCGCTCGGCACTACTTTTAATTGAACAACAACGAGCAGATTTGGGGGTTGGCGGCATCGGAGGGGACGGTGGGAC